TTTGTCCCAAAAACTGCGCGGTTAGGGCGCTAATCCTTACGGGCCTGCAACCATCGACCCCTTCCAACGCTTCCCACCCACCGCGAGAGGTGGTGAGATCAGCGTGCATTGATGAGAGATCAGCGTGCTCTCTCAAACGACGTGCTCTCTCGCGTATTTTGTCTTCTTTGACCGCCCTTTCTCGCCATCGTACCACATCCGACCTATTGAAGGTTAAGGCCTTAATTTCAGCGTTCCCAAAGATTTCTCTTGCTTTCCTTTCCACTTTCAGGTCGTTCCGCAGCTAAGCTATCACTACAAAGCGCTGATAGCACCAGTTTAATCCCGGAGTTTGCCTTTAAGGAATGGATCCACCCAAACTCACCGTGGGAAATGCCTTTAGGCAAAATCAGCTCAAAACAAACAGCAAATCAACGGACAAACTATTTAATTCGAATTGACAGGTGCCGTAGGTGCTTTCAAAACGACCAGTTTGGCTTGAAAAAAGGCGGGCTTAGAATGGAAAATGGTACATAGAAGATACTCAGCGCATGATGTAATCCTGGTACTGTGCCTCTTTTTGACACGATTACACGTACGCGCAAAGCTCTTTACCCATCTTCAGCAACTCCTGCTATAGGAAACTATCTGATAATGAGAAAGTCAAGGGAATGTCAATGGAGGATGTAGGAAACTGTAAACAGGAGGATTTCGAGAAAGGCGACTAGTATAACAGCGTTTTCACTGGAAGCACGGTGTGTTCCTTCTGCAAAGATAGAAATAACTATGTTGGCCAGTACCTGACTCAGTTCGTCAAGGGTCCTGATGGAGTGCACCAGTATTTTGGAGGCGGGACGAGGATCGACTTCGTCGGCAGAGAAACAGCAAACTTCTTTCCTCAGCTGTCATTTTGCCAATTTGCGTCCAGAGTGCTCTTCGAAACCTTGCGTTGTAGTGTAAGGAAAAGTCCGACTGAAAAGATTAATGCACTTCCAAGATGGCGCAACTTTCGGGAATTCTTCTAACATTCTACAATAAAACAGCCGGAAGTTTGAGGCTCGGCATGGTCTTCACCCGAGGTTCCAATTTCAGGCTGTATTCTTTTCTCTTTTGTAACTGCAGTCATTACTAAGTAGACAAACCTGCAGTGTGGAGGCGAAAATTGCTGCGTTTTTCGTAGCGACAATTTGCTTGGCAGCCAATTTGACGACTCGATCACCTCGAGAGCAGCCTGCCAGCTGAACTGCAGTCGACCACTGAGTACCTCTGCTCTTCAGCTGGACCTCCAGAAGTGATTCCTGAACAGAGATACAAAATATAGTTCTTTCAGCATGCAGGGGCCTTCACAAGCTATTTCTGAAAAACCATGAGAGCTAAAAACACTAACCTCACGAGTGGCATTGTGGGTGAAGAGGAAATGACACACGGCCGTCACTTGCTTGTGCACATCGTCATGCAGCGAATTTGGGGATACCATCCAACGTCGAGCCTGATGTCAAATTTTCAGTCATTCTAGGCAGCCAAAGGATTCTTCAAGATACCGATGACAGATTGCACTGCGATTGCTGACCCACCCGAACACAGGTGTGATGTTTAGCTTTCAAACAGATGTAAGAGTATGAAACTCTCGATTGAATGAAGTTCGTCCCCAGACCTGTGACCTTTCTATTTATCTAACTCTGCTGTGCTTCTCAGACTGAATGTAGCGGGGGATAATGTACCGAAGCACAGTTAAAATCGCTTTCTATTCAGATGAAAGCTCATAATAGCTACGTTAATGGTTTTACGTGAACGTTTATGTAAATGGCTGAGGTAGCGCTTATGGAGAAGGAAATGCGCAGTAACTAATCGAACGAAA